TGGCCCCGAGGGCAGAAATACGGACTAAATCCTTCTCCTGAGACTTAGGGGGGATTTGGGTCACAATGACTCGTTTGTGTCGATTTTTAATTTTTGCCGATCTTCCAATTAGTTGCAATGAAACAAACGTCGGCACCAGCTGAACTGTGTCGCCCCCACTCCACTGCCCAGGTGGAAAGGTGTCCCCTTTCTTTTTTTTTTTTTTTTTAATATTTTTATTTATTTCTAGGAGAGAGAGAGAGAGAGCGCGTGAGCAGGGGAGGGTCAGAAAGAGAAGGAGACAGACTCCGAAACAGGCTCCAGGCTCCGAGCTGGCAGTCAGCACAGAGCCCGACGCGGGGCTCGAACCCGCGAACCGCGAGATGATGACCTAAGCGAAAGTCGGACGCTTAACCGACTAAGCCACCCAGGCGCCCCGAGGTGTCCCCTTTCTTAAAGGGCTTGGGAAGGAGAGGGAGTAGCTCTGTCCCTCCCGGGTGTTGCCTCTCCAGATTCTGGGCTCCTTTTACCTCTCTCATCGCTGCTGTGACATATGGCACACTTCTCTACCAGCCACCGCCTCCTGGCCTGGGGGTGTCCTGAGCCACGCAACTCCCATGGGTTCAAAGGGCGAATGTGCAGCCTTCTCATTCCGCCTAACCACAGGGCTGGGTGGATGAGGCTGATTCGCCAGAGCGGAATTGAATGGACTTAACAACGTGGGAGTAAATACAAGGTAAAATTACACGTTAAAGTCAGCCTTCCTCATAAAAGCTAGGGAGGACTTAGAACAGGGGTGGGTGGAAGAGTCAGCTTCAGCAGGAGAATCTGGGATGTGCTCAGCGATTCCAGATTGGGCTCCTGAGCCCGCCCCGCCAGCGTGGGGTCTGAATCCGCCTTCTCTTCTCACCAACACACATCTCCCAAAGACAAACTGGTTCAGAGAGATCCAAGTCTAGATTCGTATAAAAAAGAGAAACAGGGGGGTGCCTGGGGGGTTCAGTCAGTTGGGTGACCAACTTCGCCTCAGGTCATGATCTTCCTGCTCGTGGGTTCGAGCCCTGAGTCTAGCTCTGTGCTGACAGCTCAGAGCCTGGAGCCTGCTTCGGATTCTGTGTCTCCCTCTCTCGCTGCACCTCCCCCCAGTCTCAGAAATAAATATTAACTTTTTTTTTTTTTAAAAAAAGAGAGAGACATTTCTCTACATACAATGAAAACTATACAACTCTGTCCACCGATGGGGGTGTGTTTTCACCTTCCTTCTGCGTCCAGAGGCAGAACAAGAAAGGGGCTTCCGGAGGCCCTAATGTTTCTTCACCCTCAGGCTCCATGAAGGACCTGGCTGCAGTTCTGGAAAAACCACTGTCCTGTACCCAGAGCCTGACCACATCCCCGCGTGGGATACCTCACGGGACTCTGTCCAAACGGGAGGGAGACAGAGTGATTTACCATCTTCCTGTCTAAGCAACTGACTTTCCCAATTGCATTAGGAAAGCCAAGGTTCAGGCGACCTGTGTAGATGTGCCTTCCAGAATTAATTTCCATCGCATTATGCACCTACCCTTTCCATCAGTTAATAAGAATGGCTGAAGCAGAACTTGTGGAAGATTTTTCTTTCTAGATCTGTAGTTCTCAAAAAGGGGCAAGTTTGCTCTCCAGGGAACATCTGGTGACATCTGGAGACATTTTTGTTTGTCACGGGCTGGGGAGACTCCGGGGGAGGCTGCTGGCATCTCGCAGGGTAGAGGCCAGTGAGGCTACCAAACATCCTGCAACACACAAGGCAACTCCCCACAAGAAAGAATTACCCAGATCCCAATATCAATAGTGCTGCTATAGAGAAACTCTGCTCTGCTTGGGGGAAAAAAATGAGGTTTTCCTTCATCTGTGCCTAGTACTCACCAGCCTCTCACCCTCGTGTCACTCCTGAATTTTACTTTTAGAATTCATCGCTGATCTTCCTACAAATCATCTCCCAGAAGTAGATTAAGAGTAATAATGGCAATTACTGTGTGCCAAGTTCTGGGACACAGACTTTACATAATTTATTGCACTACTGTCCCCATTTTTCAGGAGAGAACATTGAGGATCCAGGCAATTAAGTAAGTTGCAGATGTCCATAAGACTTAAAACCTCAGAGGTGGGAATCAACCCAGAATTCCAAAGTTTCTCTGCTCTTTAACTCAATATCTTTCCTCCTTCCTTCCTTTCTTCTTTAAATAATATCTACACTGGGGCTCAAACTCATGATCCCAAGACAGAAGGTCACATACTGCACTGACTAAGCCAGCCAGGTGCCCCAACTCAAAGCCTTTCTAAGGAAGCCAACAGTATTCAATTCATTAAGCAATTGTTTTATGCCCAGAATTCTATTTTTTTATCATGAGAATTTTTCATCTTCTGACAAAAAGTATTTGTTACATGACTATAACTTTGTAACTATGATCATCCACCACTTAGAGCCAACTTCATAGCTGGATTTAAAAACACATGTATTTTTTAAACTCCCTGCTCTCCAAGAAAAGCTATGTATTTGATACAGTTAATCTCAAATTTAAGGAAGCTTTTCATTTTTGGAACTTCCACACTAATGCATATATAATGCTTTAAATGGTAGAACCAGAAGCTTGCTCTATCTTGAGGGGCCCATATTAAAAAAAAAAATGAAGGAAAAAAAGCAACATTTTGTAACATTTACAAGAGTATACTAAATGTTTTTATTCACACCTGGGTCTCCTTCATTGTCTCGTCTATTAGTTTTCTACTGCCACACAGCAGATTAAAACAAATTAGCAATTTAAGAAAACACCCATTTATTAGCTCCCAGTTCTAGAAGTCAGAAGTCCCTGCAGAGCCACTACTTAACTGAGTTCTCTGTTGAGGGTCTCTCAAGGCTGGCATCATGGCGTCAGTCAGGCTGACTTCTCGCCTGGGGGCTCTGCAGAAGCAAGCTTTCGAACTCACTGAGGTCATTGGCAGAATTCAGTTCAGAGTCAAGTCTCATTTCCTTTCTGACTGTTGACCTGGGGTTGTTCTCTGCTCCTACACTCTGCTGTGTGGTCCTTGTCAGATGGCACCTTCCATCTCCAATGTCATGTTGTGGAGATCTCCCTGATGATGAACCTACCTCCTGCTTTGAATCTCTCTCTCTCTCTCTGGGAAAAGCCCAGTCCTTTTTAAAGACTCACCTGATTAAGTCAGGCCCACCAAGGGCAATCTACCTATCTTAAGGTCAATTGACTTGAAATCTTTATTACATCTGTAAAATCCCTCATGGCAGTACCTACATTAGTGTTTGACTAACTGGGAGAAGGCATGAATATATCAAGTAGGCCTAGAGCTTGGGACTCATCTGCCTAGTTTACAGTCTGCAAATTCCTTCATGGCAAAAGCTGGGCCTTATATGTCTAGTACCCGGTAGATGCTCCATAAATGGTCACTGAACCAAACTGTTTTAAAGGAATTGGGAAATTCTGAAGTCAGGAAATTGTTACACTGCAAGCATTTAAGTTCAAGGTAAGGACAACTCCCATCAGGAAAGAGATCAGTGCCCAGGATGCCTTTGGGCCGATCACCAACCTGACTCTTCCTCTACCGAAAGATTAAGGGGAGTTTCTACTTTCAGTATGGGAAAACAGTTTTGATTTAGTAAAGGAGGTGAAGGGAAAAAGAATCCCTATCGCAGAAATTTGCAAGAGAACAGTTTTCCAGAATCACACTTATTCTGTTGAGTAAAGATGTATCCAGAGGGTTGATGGTGTTGTGAGCTTCCCTTGGCTGGTCTGCCAGCCCTGTGAGGGTGGAACTACACATTATTCATATTTATATCCCTAGGGGTAGCACTGGGGCTGGTTCAGAAGATCAGCCTTAAAGACAAAAGCTGATTGCACACTTGTAGAATGAATGCTATTCCACGTGCCTCTGCTAGAAATCACTCAATTCCTCTGGGCGAGGGCTCTTGCGATGCATATTTTGCAATCCAGCAATGCCTGCCCCATTCCTGACAGCCAGCGAGCATTCAACAGGTGCAATTGATGGGCCGTGTACACTTGTTTTAAAACGTACTTTCTCCTCTCCAAACTACTAGTTGGTCCTTTTATGTTATGCAATATGAATTGAAGCTGAATAATATACAAGCTAGTCTTATGAGGCTTACTTCTAAGAAATACTCAGCTTTACGTTAACGCAAGAAACACAAAAAACAAAAAACCCCAAACACCCAAAACCTGTCATCTGACTTTCAAATGGATACTCATAGCAGTGTCTTGTGAACGTATTTAAGACAACCTTTTTTTTTTTTTTTACATCAATAAGGGGACAGAGCTTTGATTTCTGAAAAAAGAAAATTTCCTTTTCCCTTGGATTTTCTCAGCTCCTCCATTGCGAGCCTCAGACGAGGTACAAGTTATCTGCAATTCTGTGGGCGTCCTCTGCACTTCAATCGCTTTCGGGAAAATACTTTTCCCGACAAGGCCTTCCAACTCTGGGTAAACGCTAGTCGGGACTACAAGCCGTCGCCACTTCTCTGTAAACTGCGAAGCCGCGGATTTCGGGCCCGCGCTGTGACGTCACCGGGCTGGCGTCAGACTCCGGTGAGTGGCTGGGGCGCATGACGTCACGGGCCGGGGGCGGGGCCGGGCTCCAGAGGACTCCGGGATGCTGCGGGTTCGCTTTTAAGAAAGAAAAAAAAACAAAAGTGGTGGGGGCGAACCGAGGAGTGCGCTACGCCCCGCCCCTCCCCGCCCCGCCCGCCGCAAGCCGCGCGGGCCGAGAAGGGCGGGCGGGGAGGCGGGGCGGGGCGGGGCCGGGCGCGGCGGCGCGCCGTCCAGGCCGCCGCCCACCCCGTACACACAGCATGTAAACAGTCCCCGCCGGGAGGAGCCCCGGGACCGGAGGGAGCCGCGCCGCCCGGCCCCGCCGCCTGCCCGAGAGTCCGCGGAGCCGCGCTCTGCCCGCCCGGGAGGAGGGCGCCCGAGGAGGGAGGAGGGCGGGCGGGCGGCGGAGGGAGCGGGAGGCGGGAGGCGCGCGAGGAGGCTGAGCGAGCGGCGGGCGCGGCGGGCCAGGATGGATTTCCAGCAGCTGGCTGACGTTGCGGAGAAATGGTGCTCCAACACGCCCTTCGAGCTCATCGCCACCGAGGAGACCGAGCGCAGGATGGATTTCTACGCCGACCCCGGCGTCTCCTTCTACGTGCTGTGTCCGGACAACGGCTGCGGGGACAATTTCGTGAGTGCCGGGGCGGGGGGGGGGCGGGGAGGGACGGCTGCAGCGCGCGGGAGTGGACGCGCGGCCGCCTCCCCGCGCCCGAGCTCCTGCACGGCCAGGAGGCTGTGGGCGCCGGGTGGGGGCGTAACCCGCCTGGCTCCGCGGTGTCAGCGCCGCGAGGGCGGGGGTCGGGGAGGACCAGGAAGCCGGGCTGGGGCGGGCTGTTTCGGGGACGCGACCCTGCGGCCCGCGCGCTGTGCTCGGCTGGGAGCTTCTGCCGAGGGTCCCCACCGCTCGCCGGCCCGGGGAGCAGGGGCCGTCCCGCAGGGCCGCGAGTCCCGAGCTTCCTGCACCCGGGCGTCCCGTCGGGGTGAGGAATCCCGTCCCCCTCCCGAAGCGCAGACACAACTCTTCGAGTCGTCCCCGCCCGGGAGATTCCCCCGCCCCCGTGTTATCCCCTGCGCCGCGGGTTTGGACACAAAGCCTCTGTCCTTACTAGCCATGCCCCATCTCCTGGACCTTCTTTGCGGAATTACACCTCGGATCTTAAAAATGCACACGCGCGCACGCGCGCGCACACACACACACACACACACTCACACACTCGCGGGCACGCCTATCCCCCTCTCTTGTGCGTCCATTTCTCCTCTATGAGCTGCCAGCGAGGTGTGCGGGGCCCGAGCTGGCTCCGTACGGCGGAGGCAGCGGCTGCGGCCCTGGAGAAGGCCCCCGGTTTTTCCAGACGAGGGGGTACCCCCCCTCCCCCACCCCACTCCGGTCCCGGGCTAGGAGGGACCGGGACCTGGAACTGCGGTGTCGAAATCTTCGACTTTGTATCCTGCGCCCACTTGGGATCTTGGAGCTGGCAGTTTAGGAAGGGGATGCGGCGGGAGGGGGTTGGGGTGGCAGGCGCTGAGAACTGGCGAGGATGGCGCTCCTTTAAGTGTTTGTAAGGACGGGGAAAAAATAATGGTCCCCAAATGTAAGATGGAGGCGGCCGTGGGCTCGGGTTACCGTGTGGTCGCGGGCTGGAGCTTAGAGCTGGCGCTGCTGCCGCCCCTGCGGACCGAGGTGGGGCGGCGCCGAGGCGCGGCCTGGCGCCGGCTCCTCAGGTGGGGTGAGACAAAGCCGGGCCGGGGTCCGGGCGGCCACGCGTTCCCCCCGCCCCCCCACGGAAAGTTCGCGAAGGAGTTAGAGAGACGGCGAGATCGCCTTCCTTGGCCCCCAGAGAGGTGAAGCCTTGAGTATGACCCGATAGTAAGGCATGCGCCTCTCACCACCGGCGCCCAACCCCTGAGGATGAGAAGAACCCACCTGGGCCCCAAAAGTGGCACTACAAGAGAGATGGCCTTGGGTGACAGCCAGATTTGAGTCCTCTGCCTGTGTGACTAGTCAGATGCCGTCTCCCCGGCTCAGTGTACACATCAAGAAAATGGGCATGATACCAGCACCCTGGTGATCATCTGATAGGTAAAACACACAATGGCCTCCTAAGATGGGGGTTTCCCCAGAGTTTAGAGCTTGTCTCTTTTTGAAAAGCCTCAATTTTCTCACCTGTAAAATGAGGTTAATCAGAACACCTCCATCATAGTTACTTGTGAAGAGCAGGTAAGCTATAAATATATGTAAGAACACTTAACTGTAGTTTAAAACAAGTGTTACTTGTTATTGAGAAAAATGGGAGATCATTCCAAAGGGATTTACTCTGTTGAAAACGTGTAAGAAAGCCCCATGGATATACTGGGAAGAGCACTAGTGTCCAGGCAGCTGCCACGTTAGGGTTTGATCAGGTGTTCCTTCTGAGCCTGGTCTGCCAGTGGTCTTTCCTCTACCTTACTGTGGGAGACAGAACAAGAATCACTCAAGGTTCTGGATTTTATGCGTGAGAGTTCCACACAGCCTCTGCAGTAGACCTACCCAAAGAAATTACTCCAGAGAGATCCATCATAGCAAAAACAGTATGCATGTGACAACTTTCTCAAGGCCACTCATAATATATTTTAAACGTTTTCCCACCTGTATGAGTAAAATGCTTGAACATCTTCATTTGTTAATAATTGAACGGAATAGATAAAGATAGGAGGAAAAAGTAATGTCTTGGTAGACTGGAACATTCTTTTCTTTCTTTTTTGGGGGGTGGCGGGGGAGAGAAAACCTGTGGTGTGCAAGTGGGGGAGGGACAGAGGAGGAAGGAGAGAGAGGATCTCAAACCCGCTCCATGCCCAGCACAGAGCCTGACTCTGGGCTCAATCTCATGACTGTGAGATCATGACCTGAGCAGAAAAGAGTTGGATGCTTACTGGACTGAGCCACCCAGGCACCTCAAGACTGGAACATTCATAAAGTTTCTGGAGGCCATAATGGACAGGATGCCCACCACCAGTTTTCTTAGCCCAGATCTCTCCTCAGATCTACCCCAGACCAGGTTTGTCAAGCTGCTGTTTGCCCCTAGTTAAAGGGACCAGGCATGAATTAAATGCCCTGCCTCTGTCCTTTTCCTTTTCCCAGGAAAATCTGTTAAGCATTAGAAGAAATTTGAGATGAATGGAACTCCTCTAATCCAAAGGATTATTAGCATTAAGAATATTTACGTAGCCTTTGTCAGTTTTACAAGTGTTTTCACAGCATTCATTCATTCATTCATTCATCAAACATTCATTGAGGGCTTACTTTGCACCAAGCATCCTGGAATAGGATGTCTGCCCTCCCTTTCCCGGGGCCCTTCTACCCTTCTAAGAAGCAGTGTAGCATAGTGGGCGGGAGTGCAAAGGTCTGGGGTCAGGCTGCTTGGGGTTTGCACCCCAGTGAATCCCCCGCACCCCGGTCTAACTGTGTGCATTGGGGAAAGTTATTTAATCCCTCTATGCCATGACTTCCACGTCCGGAAAGGAGGGATGATAACATTAGTACCTTCCCAGTAGGCTTGTTTAGATCGGTGCCTAAAATAGCGGTGGTGATCTTAGTGTCTCTCTGGCAGTCTCCACACAGCAATCATTCTGGATTTCACATATAATCCACGTCATGATCTATGACTCCCCACCTCACCTACACTGACTTCCTATAACTTTCAGAATAAAACTGGAGCCCTTGCCCTGGCTTTGAGTCCCTACAAGTGTGTCTCCTGCCACCTCTCTGACCTCATGTTGGACCATTCTTCCTCCTTGATTACTGTGTTCCTGCCACAGTAGCCTTTCTGGTCCTCAGACATGCCAAGCTCCTTTCTGCCTCAGGGCCTTTGCATCTGCTGTCCCCTCTGGCTAGAACATTCTTCCCTCCCATCTTTACATGGGTAGCTCCTTCGTGCCATTCAGGCCTGAGAGAAGACGCCCTGACCACATGTTCTTTCACCTCACTCTCTTTTATTCAAATCATAGCATTCATTAGTACTCGATACCCTCTTGTTTATTTTCTGCCTCCCCCACGAGGAGGGAGAAAATAAGCTTGAGAAGAGCAGTGGCTTTTTCTCCTTTATGTATCACTATATCCCAGAATTTGGAGTAGTGTCAGACACGTGGTAGGTGCTCAGTCCATGTGTGTAGGAATGAGTGAATGAATGATATTGACAGATGTGAAACTTGAAGAATGAGGGCTTCAAAGAACAATAACTACCACTTAGGTGTAACTTACTATATATCAGACACTGTTCTAAGTACTTTGTATATCTGTACTTATTTAGTCTTGGCAATTTCACAAGGTTCTCTGCCTAATTTTCTCCATCTTACAGATGAAGAAACTGATAGCTAGCAAGGTATACTAACTTTTCCATTTCATAATAACTAATAAATGGTATAGCAGCTTGAATCCACAGCCCTGTACTGAAAACAGCATCCCAGGGGTGACAGCTGGGGTTCAAGGGCAGCTTCTTATTGGGCCTCACAAAAAGTCTATGCATTAGGTGTTATCCCCATTTTATAGGTTAGGAAACTGAGGCTCAGTTTAAGGGATCTGTCCAGGACTATACCACTAAGAAGCGACAGCCAGGACTTAAGCTCAAGTCTAGAGGCCTGTAGTTTGCACCATGCAGCATGTCCCACAGGCGGGATCAAGCCAGGTCTCCAGAGGCCTTGGGAACAAGGACTTCCTTTTGTTTTCCCTCCACTTTGGCAGCTCTGGGTTCCCTTGTGCACTGTTTCCTCTTCTCCGCTCACAGCCATCCAGTTCACGCTGTCCCTTTCCAAACGGCTGCCCTGATTCAGGCTTCTCTCTGTGGACAGCGCACAAGGTCAGATCCTGGGATAAAATGTCGCCGCCTTTGCCCTCTGTGTCAGGCGTTCAGGGACAGAGCCAACCCTGCCTGGTTCTACAGGTGTGACAGGGAGGGAGCCGAGAGCTCACAGACAGGTGGTGTGCGCCCGTCTGCCAATGAAGAGGGACCTGCGTCAGGCTCGAGGAGTGGGGTGTCGGCATCCGCTCACGAAGCAGCCGGACAAAGGGACACGTGTGCACGCTCTCCTGGGCTGGGCACACTGGTGTCTCTTCCTCCTTGTCCAGGGGAAGGAAATCTAAACAAGGAGTACAGCCCTGCCCCTCCCCAGTGCCCGAAGAAGGGGTGACTTGCCTTATTGTCCGGGTTTTTTCCGCCAGCCCATCAAAACCATGTTTGGGTTCAAAATTCTGTGGAGTTTAATCTCTCCTCGGTATAAAAACAAAGACAGGGGTCATCATTCTACTCAGGAAGAAAAGCTTTATTTAGGGAAGGACCATGTGATTTAATTTTATATGTACGTCTGTGCTTATATTTATATATATTCTCCCTGATTTTCGTCCTGAGCATGTCCCTCTTCTTAACTTTGGAGACCAACCTTCTCACTTTGGAGAAAAAAATGTAACTTTTCTAGATGAGATTGCATCATTTCATATGTGGGGAGCAAAGCACTTTCTTGTCTACTTTAATCTGCCCTCAGTTTTCTCCTATGTCAAATGGGATCATACGATGTATTACATTATTATTGGGAGGATCCAGTGAGGAAGAGTGGTAACTGTAAAGCCTTCCACAGTAGCTTTGCGTTATTCAGATAGAGGGATTTTTTTTCAGGGGAAAATGTATGTCCTTAGTATATTCATGAAGCGGTAATCCCGAGGAGGGTAAAGTCACACTCATACGAGTGTAAACGGATGGGAATAAGCCCTGTGGACTCCTGCCAAATGAGAGGCAGTCCACAGGTGATCTATCATCTTTACGATGACCCTGTGAGGAGGAGTATTTTCTGTGACTTGCGAAGGAGGGAGCTGAGGTTCAAGTTGAAGGCGTGCACACCGCGGTTGATGCCTTGGCTTTGTCCTCGCTCCCCATGCGACCACAGACGAGCTGCTTAACCTTTCTGAGCCTTGGTTCCCTCACCGGGAAAACATCTCCGTGGCTGGCACTTGGAGCGGGTCATAGGTCTGGCCACACGCTCTCCTTACCCTGGGCGGAAACCTGTTGGGTGCACGAGACAGCTTGTACCTCTTGTCTTCGACCGATCCTTTGATGGACAGCATGGAGTTTGGGGTCAAGCTGTCCCAACTCAGAGTGGACTCCCGGGTCCTGAGGATGGTGGAAACCCCACACGGCAGTGCTACAGGGAGTGCGGGGCCCTTTGACTCAGATAACTGAGTCCAGGGAGAAGAAACAGGTGTGTTCTTTGGCCCCCTGGGGCCCCCCACCGTGCCGCAGCCCCAGGAAGCCACATGCCATCTCCCCAGCTGTTAGAACAATAGACGCACAGACTGTGCTCAGAAAGATACCTGTCGGGTTGAATTCCCGTAGCGATCAGATACCATTTTTGGATGAGCTGCATCTTCTCACCTGTACTATAGAACACAGACAGGTGCTCGTTTCCCTGTGTGCAGATGGCCTGGTTTTACTGTCTTAAGCTAGACAACCTATGATGATAACGTCTGGTCCAACTTACTGACAGAAAGAAGGGCCACGGATGGCTTGTTTTAAAATCACGGTTCTCACCAGGGATTTTCAACTTCGCCCCTCCATCCCCAGATGAGTCAAAGTTCTGGTTCTCAAAGTGTGTTCCCAGAACCAGCAGTCTGAGCTTCACCTGGGAACTTACTGGAACTGCAGATTCTTGTGCGCGCACCCCCCCCAGTTGTGTTTTAAAAAGTCTGGGGAGTGGGATGGGGCTGGGGGGGTGTTGTGATACTTGCAGAAGCCACACAACCACCACTGCCCTCTCTTTTGGCATCCTTCCTATTCTAACAGGCCCCCTGGCTCCAGAAAGTGAGTACATTCTGTATCTAGGTTTATATTTACCAGGAGTTACATTGTTCAAAGCCACACGTTCTCTGACCCCTGCTGTAGTTTTTTTTCATGGTCAGAGTGGCTGTTTGGTGGAACGTCCAAGGCAAAGTCAATTGTGGTCACACCATGGGTGCAGGATTTTGGGTCTTTAATCACCCACTTGTCTTTGTTTAAGACTAGACCCCAGGATCTCTTTTCAGGCCACCAGACAGTCTCTCTGCCCTCTCCTGGTTTCAGAATGGCGCCCTCTGTTTTTCCTCAGAGACGACCATCATACCCTCTGCCTGTTGCCTGTTAGCTCTGAAGGGCACATGTGTTGTATCTGGCGACACTGCCGTGGGACACTGATTGCCTGGACCTATATAAGCTACAGAGGGAACTGTGTCCCACAGCAGGTGGCCAGGCTGGTTGACCTGGCCCTGTGTCCTAATCTCACTTGGTTTTATATACTTTTCCTTCCATTGTTTCCCCTTTATCCTTCTTTTCCCAACTACGGACTCATGTTTTAGTTCATCTTGCCTTATTTCTTATGGATCTTCAGTAACTGCCTTGGTTAATTTTGGAAGGAAACGGTCGCAATAAATAAAACTGAATATTTTTTGTTGTGAGATACTATGGGTATGAACCAATTAGCATTTAATAAGTGATGTCCTCTGAGCAGCCATGTACACCTGAGTCTATAGGTTAGAAATGCCCTAGAAACACTTAGGGACACCCGCGTGGCTCAGTCGGTTAAGCATCCGACTTCAGCTCAGGCCATGATCTCATGGTTTATGAGTTCAAGCCCCATGCGGGGCTCTGTGCTGACAGCACCGACACCTTCGGATCTTCTGTCCTCCCTCTCTCTCTGTCCTGCTCCCACTTGTAAGCACACGCTCTCTCTCTCTCTCTCTCTCAAAAATAAACATTATACAAAAAAAACCAAGAAATGCCCTAGAAACACTTAAAGAATCTGTCTGATTTTCCAGGCAGTAGTGGATACGGTGCGATTCTGTTGCTTGAGTGATCGCGCTTTCCTTAGTTTACTTTGTAATTTAAAGTCCAAATATACTTAGAAAACAGGTGTACAAGGTTTTCACAGATACACCTACTTCTCCATTCACAGTGGCCCAGGTTGCCCTGGGTATGTGCTCAGTGAGGTCCCATTGGGTGTCTCATTTGCTCAGTGCGGGCCCTTTGGCTTGTGGCACATGGGAAGCTCAGCCCTGCCCCTTCCTCCCCGTTCTGCAGACACAGACGGGGAAAGAACACTTACAGCCGCCATTTATTGAACGTGCACTGCATGCTAGCCAGGCACTGTGCTGCACTTAATAAACCTCATACGCTTTTTTTTCTTTCCTAATTTTCACCAGTCTAGGGAAGGCAGGGGTAAAGTTTTCTCTGGTGTGGTGCTAGATGTTAATCCCATCCTTAACTTGGATAAGAATTTTAAATATGCTGGAACTTTTCAACATCTGCATATGAAAATGGGTGCTGAACAGAACTTACATTACTGTTCTTTAATACAGGACTTTATCGTTCTTGCTGAATCCCTACTGATTAAGAATCAAGTGTGATAATGGATATGAAAGCACTTTGTATTCATACTTTCATACAATGTAAGAGACCATTACGTAAATGGCATTTCAGCTGCTCAGCAACTGTTAAGGGTCTCTAATTCATAGGGAACCGTGTTTGAGCTGTGCTCTAAAGTTAGAGAATCTAGAAGTTGTCTTTGTTCGGTTGAGCCAGAAGCCACTCTCGAAGCCTGCTGGAATTAGAGCAGCGTGTGTCAGAACTGGACCTTTTACATCTATGAGACACGGGTAACTGGGGTAGAAAGAGCACATTCGCGTCTAGCTGGTCTCTTGGATCTGAGCATTTAAGTCTGTAGATCCAGTTCTTAGAAATGCTGCAGTGAGAAGGAAGGAGGTGAAATATGTTTCTTGAGTGATTGACCTGTAACTCTCTGGGGTGATGCCCTACTCATTGTATTAACGGAAGGGAGACGATGTGTGCTGGACGTGGGCCATCTCTCCAAACAGATCTTGTCTCCTGTTGCCTCGTTTCTGCTCTTGCTTCAATTTCCAGATGTCTTCCTCTCTCCCGTGCCTCTGCACTGTCATTGATCGGGCCCCTCTAAACAATGACTCTAGGTCAGACACCCTGAGGTTACCTTAGTAGCCCAGTGCTTCTCCCTAGGTCAGATGGGCAGAGCAGGGGGCTTCTGCCCCCAGATCTCTCAAGCCTGTTTCTCGGGCTTATCCTGGATCCTTGAACGTTATCTAGTCTTGAGACTAGATCCTTGAGACTTACTTAGTCCTAAAGAGGCGCTCAAACATATGTCCTCACATGGGAAGACAGACACACAAGCAGAACCCAAACACCTTGTCTAGCCTTAAGAAAAAATAAAACCTAAAACCGGGTTCTTGGAGGACGTTGACGTTGCGAAGCAATGCCCCCTTAAAGCATTCTAAGAAGGTGAGCTTTCCGAAAGCTTTGCTTCCCAGGGATGGAGCAATGGCTTTTCCGTGTGTCCTTCTAAATTCATTCGGTTTCATTCTGTTTTGTTGTTGCTGATTTTAAATTCATTTCATTTTGAAGTAAATTTACCATCACCCCCACTCACAGGCTACTCTGGGGAAAGAATGTTTCATTGCAGGTTAGCAGTTACAGACTGTGCTTAATTAATCCTTCAGCCACAGCTGAAGGCAAAGTGAAGGCTCACGCAGGCCCTTGGCTTCTCCTCCCTGCTGCTTTCAAGCCCTCCTTAACCTGTCCTCAAAGGGCTGTGGAGGGGCGCCTGGGTGGCTTAGTCGGTTAAGCATCCGACTTTCGCTTAGGTCATGATCTCGCAGTTCGTGGGTTCGAGCCCCGCGTCGGGCTCTGTGCTGACTGCCAGCTCAGAGCCTGGAGCCTGTTTCAGAGTCTGTGTCTCCCTCTCTCTCTGACAGTCCCCTGCTCACGCTGTCTCTCTCTCTCTCTCCTAGAAATAAATAAAAAAAATTAAAAAAAAAAAAGGGCTGTGGAAATCGTTGGGTGGGGCAGGGTTGGGGGTGGGGCGGATATCGATTCCACTGTTTTTTTGCTGGGTCTCCCAGCAGATCTGATGGTGAATCGAGCAGGTGAGATTATGGACCGAAAGCATGGGGGTGTCCTATAGGATAAGCATATTCTCGTCCCCTTCAATGCAAGCTAATCAAGAACGAAAGTGGAAATTTTACCCTGGAACAGAGGCCTTCTGATTTATGGACTGAAAAAAAAAAAAATCGTGGGGCTTTCTGTGTTTCACACTGAGTGTAATAATGACCGCGTGTCTTTGTTCTCTCCTTTCCCTCGCCTGCGGGCGCGCAGCACGTGTGGAGCGAGAGCGAAGACTGCCTGCCTTTCTTGCAGCTAGCGCAGGACTACATCTCCTCCTGCGGCAAGAAGACGCTCCCCGAAGTCTTGGAGAAAGTCTTCAAGTCTTTCAGACCTGTAGGTGCCTGCCTGGCTCCCAGAGCCGTCTTGTTTTCTACAGCGATTGTGCTTGGTTATAACATGGCTGGTGGGGAAAGCGGGCAAAACCTGGGATGACTAATTGTTTTTCTCTTGTCTGCTTTGTGGCTTAAAGATAGCAGCTCGGGGAGGGAGGGTGAGGGCGGAGAGGGAGGGGGGACGGGATGTGACACAGCTGCTGGTTGCAGGAATGATGGTTATTTCTAGCATCACTTGAGTTAAGAGTCTCTGATGGGGTGGGAGGCACACAGAGCCTTTATGAGACTTGGGCGCATTCCTGTTCTTGCCCAGTGGGCTTGGGTCCATCGTACTGACACCAAGCGCCGTGGGGGTTCTCTTCCGTGCCGAGGTCTAGACTTGGGGGGCTGCCAGGCGGCTGTATCCAGGATGTGCCTCCCTGCCTGTGGGGATGGAGAAGGATGACATTGGATCCTGGCTCTGGTCTTTTCTTGGTTGATACACTCTCGTGGAGAGTTTGCTTTCCTCCCCCAAGCCCCAACGTAGGATTCAGGAATCAGTCTCTCTGCGGCTAGCTGACAGTTTGGTTTTGTTCTTGCTGAAAACATGTAAAATGGATTTTCACCCCTGTTTTGAAGATTAGGCATCTCCCTTTAACTTTATTGGAAGATAAAGTCAGGTTACTGGTGTCATGATGCATCCTCTTGAGTTCGGCATGCTGGCCCACTGTGAATACGCTACACTTTCCATGATATGTGCTCTAGATTTCTTTTTTGGCCAGTTCTTTTAAATAGTATCTATTTCTCTGCTGCAGTTTTCTTTTCTTCTTTCTTTTTTAATTTTTTTATAGTTTATTTATTTTTGAGACAGAGAGAGATAGAGCATGAGTGGGGAAGGGGCAGAGAGAGAGGGAGACACAGAATCCGAAACAGGCTCCAGACTCTGAGCTGTCAGCACAGAGCCCGATGTGGGGCTTGAACCCACGAACCGTAAGATCTTACCTGAGCCGAAATCAGACGCTTAACCGACTGAGCCACCCAGGCGCCCCCATGCTGCAGTTTTCAAGCTTGCCTTTCAGTTCCCTGACCGTAGTAGGCCTGATCGCATGGCTGCATAATAGACCACGTCTGACATTCCAACATCTCAAGGCTTGTGTCTGTTTTGCTGGCTTTTGGCGATTGGTTCTCACTCTTGGTATCTTGTTTCCTAGTATGTTGGAGTATCTTGTGTGCTGGTTATTGTATTTGAAAACTTGTGTATAGGAATACATTGAAGCTGGAGTGCCTGGGTGGCTCGGATGGTTTAGTGTCCGACTTGGGTTCAGGTCATGATCTCAGATTCGTGGGTTCTTACTCCACGTTTGGCTCTGTGCTGACAGCTCAGAGCCTGGAGCCTGCTTCAGATTCTGTGTCTCCCTCTCTCTCTGTCCCTCCCCTGCTCATGCTCTGTCTTCTCTCTCAGCAATAAATGGATGTTAAAAAACTATTTAAAAAAAAAGAGAAATACATTGAGGCCTGAGGTGATGGCACCTTCCTCCAGAGAGGATTTTAATCCGTTTCTCCCAGGGCTTGGGGCTCTTATCAGTGTGAGACCACCTTCCAGCAATTTAAGATCTGTAGTTCGTGGAGCTCTCCAGGTGATGAAAGGTCAGCCCACACACCTGGTTGCTTCTGGTTCACCCTTGTCTCGAGGGCTAGCCCATGCAGACAAAATACCAGAGCCTGGGTGGGTTATAGACAACAGACATTTGTTTCTCATGGGCGTGGAGGCCAGGAAGTCCAAGATCAAGGTGCCAGCAGATTTGGTGTCTCATAAGGGCCCACTTCCTAGACAGACAGCTGTCTTTTTGCTGTAACCTCACATGATGGAAGGAGGGGAGATCTCTCTAGGGTCTGTTTGTAAGGGCACTAATCCCATGCATGAGGGCTCCACATTCACGACCTCATCACCTCCCAAAGTCCCCCACCTCCTCATCTGTCACCTCAAGGGTTAGGATTTCAACATCTGAACATTGCAGGGACATAGACGTGGGAACCATAACAGGTCTTTGGGGTCTCTCGGCTTAAAGTGGGTGTTCATCAGAGCCTGTTCCTTTAGAAGGCCCTGGCTTCGACTTCGGCTCCCCTCGCTGTTATAGGGGGTCAGGAACGCAGTAAAGTTTCTAGCTGTTTCCTGTAGGTCAACAGATGCTCTCAGGACAAAAGCAGCCTATACGTTTCTCTCTAGGTTCTAATTCTTCAAGTACTTAAGAAGGCGTTTTTCATATTTATTCCAGCTTTCTTCTCTGACGAAGAGTTGGCCCCAATCACTCTGTCCACTGTTATAAGAAGTGGAATTTCCAGTGGCTTTTGTCACTGTGTTTGATTTGTACCACTTGCCCTGGCAATTCATTTTTTGTCTCTTAATTTTCTAAGCCTGTTTGGCTCATTCAGAAGAGACTCATGATTGAAAAGTACTGATCTAGCACTCATTCGTGCAGTATATATTTACTGAGTCCCTGACTACTCTGTTCCTAACGCTCGATTCAAACAGATGTAGATCTTATCCTTATATTCTTGCAGCGGTGGGGGGCACAAGATAAGTAAGTCCAACACGTCACGTATTAGTGATAAGTGCCAAGGAGAAAGAGTAGGTAAGTTAGAGAAAGGTGAGAAGTGTCAGAGGTACTAGGATTTTTCTTTTTTAAGAAGGGGAACAAGGGAGGCTTTGCAAAGACATTCACGTTTGAGTAAAACTTGAATTGTGAATAGGAGGCAATCTAAAGGCAAGCTTCCGGGGTAGAGAGAGCAGCAAGCACGGAGGTCCGGAGGCCGTGGCAGATGGGGAGAATATCAGTGTTCAGTGGGGGGGTGGGGGGAGAGGCAAGGAGAGGCTGGTGTGGTGCACAGAAAAGGAGGGTGGGGAGGAGCACCAGAGGAGCCTGAAGAATTTCACGGGTTTGCAGGTCACAGAAGGATTTGGGTTTTGTGCCGGTGTCATTCGGGAGCCACTGGAGGAGTTTGAGCACAAGCGGGACCCGACTTTGCATTTTGAAAAAGCCCCTCTGGCCGGCTGAGGACAGGCTGCAAGGGTCGTGTGGGAACAAGGGGACCAGGGAGAGGCCACTGCTATCATGTGGTGACAGGTTAAGAGTCGGACCGGGGTGATCACAGGAAAGGCAGAACGAAGGACCCGGATCTCAAGGTGACCTTGCAAGTAGACCTGATGGCACTTGCAGGTAGACCGGAAGTGGGTGTGAACAGAGAGAAGGCAGGGGTGATCCACCATTCCTTGCCCGTAGAGGGAAGGGAATGGCGCTGTCATCTGCTGAGATGGGGGAGGCCACAGAAGGGAGGGCTGGGGGCCGTGCTATCAGGAGCTCAGTGTGGGGCATATCAGTATTTGAAATGCCTGGTAGACATCCAGGCAGAGATATCAAAGTTGGCAAAATTTTTGTAAAAATTGAACCCCTCCTCCTAAGTCTTAACGAGAAAAAAAACCATCTATTAGCAAATGATACTCACTTTGCGGCTGGTTTCCTCACACGGGTTCCATTCATTAGCCTCCCACTCGGTTTTCTTTCTGTGCGTGTTCACGTTGACGGCAGGCAGAATACCCACAGGATTGGCCTCACCGTTCGAGAAGGGGAGCTCCCGCCAGGATTTGTTTTGCGCTTTTCTCTACCAAGAAGACAGGGCTGGATTTCCGAAACCGGGCAGCCGCATGTTAACGGGGGAGGAAAAATGCAGCCCAGAAACATCCAGATGCATAGCTGAGGACAACTGGATTGTTTGAATATTTTCTTTCAGAGTTAGCTGCTGCCGATCACACAGACATGCGGACTTGATCTGCCATCGCTGCTGGGTCTTCCTTTCTAGAGCAGAGCATTACATCTTAGGCAGGGACGGGATCCCAAGGAGAGGAGGCCTGGACCCGTAGGGCGCCCTCTGGCCGGGCCTTTTACTCCTCGGAGAGAGGAGGTGGGTGGGAGCCTCCCCCCCCACAGCCCAGGGTTTAGTGAAGGTGAAGTGCACTTGGGGCTTTGCCTTCCCCTCACCCAGACGTGCCCCAGGTCAGATGAGTCTGGAGCACCACAGACCCCAAGGAAGGTGCTGCCAGCCGTCAGCGGGGAAACTTCCACCCTCTCCTCCTCCACTCAAGAGTGTGATTCTCCCCATGCTGCGGGTTATCTGTCGGCTTTATGTAAGGGACCTTTGCCTTTAAAGTAAGACACCGGAAAAGGCCTTGTTGCTGACAAAAGGGTTTGTTGAAGTAACACATACCCAGGTGCTACAGGGTTATCAAGTAGGCGAACTTCCGCACACCATTTCCCTGAAAATGGGTGATCGTCTGATCAACCCATGCAGCTACTTTTCGTTCTTAGTTTGGAAAACCACGGCGGGGGGGGCGGGGGGGTGTGTGTCTTTTCGCCTTCACCTTAGAACAGCCTCATCCGTGGCTTTGAATCATTGTTTCTCCCCAGCCGACCGATCACTGGCCCCTGGCCAGTGTAGTCTCTCCAGAAAGGTGAGCACTGATACGTTGACAGCCTTCCGATGCCCCTTGGAGCTTTACCGGAGCACAGCCCGTTGGCTTTGCTAAGCCCGTGCACCCCTGAAGGGACAGTCCAAAGTGGGGTCATCAGTCTTCCTCAGCAGTCCTGTCCAAAAGGTTAAGTGTGCCACTAACACCCAGTATCTTTCTGCCTCACAGTGTTGTAGACTGTGCTTTTCCCCCGTTCCCTCTCTTCTGTTTTTTTTTTTTTTAAATGTTTTACTTAATTTTGAGAGAGAGAGAGACAGACAGACAGACAGCATGAGCAGGGGAAGGTCAGAGAGAGAGGGAGACACAGAATCTGAAGACAGGCTCCAGGTTCTGAGCTGTCAGCACAGAGCCCGACGCAGGTCTTAACCCCATGAACCATGAGATATGACCTGAGCCGAAGTCGGATGCTTAACTGATTGAGCCACCCAGGTGTCCCTTTATTTTTATTTATTCTTTTAAATGTTTTATTTCCCCACCCCCTCTCTTGTTTGCCCCCA